CCATCATGGCTCTTCTGAGTTTGGAGTTCTCTTCATACCTAGGGTCCTAGTGGACTTGTAGTCAGCAAAGACCATGGTTTTATTGCTTTGTGTGCAGGCTGACTCTGCTCTGTGCACTCGCTGAAACTAAAGCTCCTGTCACCGTCACACTAAGATATTCAGTTTATGCCTCCTCTACAGACACACAAACACAGCTGGAGAGACAGACAGGAGAAACAAGAGACTTCATGCTTGGTGAAGATGGAAGTACATTAATTGTGGTCCAGATAGCTGTTAGAGAACCTTGGTTGTCACACATTTCACACATCACAGCCTGCAAAGGATAGTATGTACTAACACCTTGTTCTACGTGGAGCTGTAAATGAGAGTTTGAGGTTCAGAGAAGAGTGGGCTGGGCAATTAGACGTGATGACAAGGTCTGGTATTTCAGATAATGAGGTTTCTTAAAGCTACTAACATTGCCATGTACGCTGCCTTGAATTCTGGAAAAAGTGAGCCACTGACTTTCCTGCCTGAAGATGTGGGGTGCCAATCAAATTGTGAAATTTGAAGGTGATTGCTGCTGTAGACACATCCTTAGCTGATAGCAGTATAATTAAACCTTTCAGGAAAAGCTTTGAATAGTTTAGAAAATGAAACATGTATTAATTAATGTTAATTCACAGAAACACTGCTCAGACTTACTTTGATTCTGAAATATGTTACCCCTGGAACTGCAATATTGAGATTGACTGCTCTCTTAACATGCAGTACACTAGGTCTCTGAAACATGTTGCAAGAAATTCCCTTCAACTTTAGCCTCTGCTGAAATGTTTCAAGAAGCTCCCTTCAGCCTTAACCTCCGCTAAAGAAGAATCTGTTTGCATGAGTGTATGTGGGGGAGGGGATGAATGAATGAATGAATGGATATCTGTGAGGACACTGACAAATTGATGGTATTAACTGCAAATATGCATCCTCCAACAGGAGTTGTATCCCACCTTCTCTGGACACACAAACACAAAATCACATATACTTGTTGCAAAACTACTTTTTAAATACATCATTCTAAAGGTTACTTCCAAAGTATTTTTCTTTATGTGATAAAAAAGCTACTGGATTATGCATGTTCACCATTATCACTTCAGGTAGGCTACCTGGCACCAGTTAATGTGTTCTCCCCAGTTTCTTAGAACTTTTAAGTATCAAGAAAATATTCGGTGAATAACAAAGCAATAGGATCCTAACAGTGAATCAAATTCCAGCCTTGGCTACTGTCTTAAAGGACCATCAGATGACTGGACAATGCTTTTGGTGCATTGTCTGTACCCACCTTCAATGAAGGAATGTTGTTCCACAACTTCTGGGAATACTGTCAGCAGGTAGGGTGAAAGACATCTTAGGCCTTTTTAGGTTGCTCCCATTCAATGACAGATCTTGCCCCAAGTGTGCAGTACTCAAACGACCATTGTAGCACCAGAGCTTCTTGCTGTGTTGGTTGAGGCTCTTGTTGCATCTGCACAACAGTTCAACTTCTCCATCTGCTCAATACTACTTCCTACTATTTATATCAATAGGTTTTGATATCAAAGGAACTACTTAATGAACACTCTGTACACTAAAATCCATTTCATAGATTGATTGCAGGGAAACCCAAACCCACTGTTTGGTAGTGCTTCATAGGTTATATTCTCACATTTGACCCCTGTAAGCCTCTGTTGGTGAGATAATCATCCTAAGTTTATACCTCAGTTAATGTATTAATTTGTATTAATTGGCTATTGCTGTGTGACAAATTACCCCAAACTGTGGCTTAAAAAACAAAACAAAACAAACAAACAAAAAAAACATTTATTACCTCGTAATTTGTGTTTCTTGGGAATTTAGGAGTGACTTAGGTAGGTGGTTCTGGCTCAGCTTTTCTCACAAGGTTGTCATCAAAATATAGGCTGAATCTGCATGTTATCTAAAGCTGTAAAATCTGCTTTCAGTATAGTGCATTCACCTAGCCATCAGCTGGAGGCCTCAGTTCCTTGTCATCAAGGCCTCTACAAAGGTTGCCTGAGTGTCCTCACATAGCTGGCTTTCTTCAAGGCACTGATATGAGTGCAGGGAGGTAGAAAGACAGAAAGACAAAGACAGAGAGACAGAGAACAAAAGCAGAAAGCCATAGTGACTTTTTTGACCCAATGCCTGAAATTGTACACTGTCAATTCTAGTCATTTTCCCAGAATTATCCCCACTTTCTAACACTACAAAATCCAGAGCAAATCCCCACTTTCTTGAACCTTCCAAAAAATCACTTAAGCCCAATTCCTGTAATACTTCATTCCTAATGCCTTCTTATCAAACACCTCATGGTTCTCCACGGTGTGCATTCTGCCTCACTGCAATGAGTAAAAAGCCCAATTTTGTTTGGTTACAGATATATTTCTGGTAGTTTTAGGCTAGAGAATACTGACAGCAGGATGGTGCTGAATTAGTTAACCACCCTAGGGCGACAATGCAGAATTTCCTAAGCCCTATCACTCCTTGTTTCCGTAGTATCTAGTCTTCATGCAGATCAAAGATCTCTGAGGTGCAGAGTCCATAATAGATGACTGTAGCAAAGAATGACTAGATTTCTGTTGAATGGTATAGAGTGGAAGGTGGGAGGACTGATTTGAAAACAAAGTAGCAGTAAAGATCCCTGGACAAGAGGATCTGTTGGCAGCTGCTCCTGTTCATTCCCTAGTCCCTGGCACACTCTTCTTAAGGAAAGGGTGGCAAGGAGGCTGGGTCTGTGGAATTCACGTGGGACTAGCTCCATGAAGAGACATTATTTCCTGTATGTTGTTTCTCTTGTTATCCATCATGTACAACGTTATCAAGTTCATAGGTACCACTAACGAGGTGCACTACTTACAAAAGCTGCTGGTGGAGGTGAGTGGTGGACCTCTCCCTGTCCCCTACCTGGATTCAGGAGCCCCTATGGAAAAGGAGCCCCAGAAGAAGCTATGGGAACTCCGAGGGAAATGTCCTTGATGATGCCCTTTTCTATCTCTCTTCTGCAACTAACTTGTGTACTTTCTCTCAGAATACCTCTGGTTTCTGTGTGTTACTCTCTGTTCCCACTACTTTTCTCAGAATTTATCCCTGAACTTATACCCTTATTTCTGGGATCCTTTGCTGTAGTCCCCACCTTCAGCCCTAATGCCTAACTGTGGATTCCACTGATCTCATTTGGTTCCTTATAAGCCTTTAATGGCATTATTCTTTTAATGATCACAGAATTCCCCTCCAAGCTCTGCCTCTTATCATTGCACCATCCTGTAATCCCTGAGTTAAGGAAAGCCAGGGTTTGGATATGAACACATTATCCCTTCAGTGTCCATATCCAAGGGCAGAAACTTCAAAACCAGAACAGACAAGATTAGACACTATACCATACCCACACCAAAATAAAATAAAGTGGGGTGAAGGGTTGTCTGGTTGTTCTTAGTATCCTAACCTATATCAGAGAAAGGTGGTGATGTAATGGTAGGAGGGACACTTTCTATAAGTTGTGTAGGGCTATCATAAAGACTTTCCCTGAGGTATACCAATAGCCAGGGAACCCCAGGACCCTGCTCACTCTCTAGCAGAATGTCATCATAGAGCATACAATCTGAAGGACGGCCTCATCACCAGCACTCTGTCTGGTACCTGGTCAGCACTTAGTGATTGTTCAGTGCATGAATGAAGCCTTAGCTATCACCCAATCCAATTCCTCTGTATTTAGAAGTGTATCATTTTGCTAGGTCTGCCATAATAAAATAAATATTACAGACCAGGTGGCTTAAAGAACAGAAGTTTATGTTCTCACAGTTCTGGAGGCCAGAAGTTGAAGAGCAATGTGTTGACAAGTTTGGTTTCTTCTGAGGCAGCTCTCCTTAGCTTGCAGATGGCCACCATCTTGTTGTCTCTTCACATGGATGTCTCTCTGTGCTCATGCCTCCTGGTGTCTCTCTGTATGTCTCAATCTCCTTTTCTTATAAGGACACCAGTCAAATTGGATTAGGGCACACACTAACAAACTCATTTTAATTTAATTGCCTTTTTAAAAGCCCTATCTCCACTTCACTCTATCAAGAAGAATGAGGTGTTCTAATGTTAGAGCTGTGGAGATTCATTCAGCTGTAGAACAGGACCAAGGATGAACTTGACATGAGACTCTAACCCTGATCCCCAGGAGAGAAAGAGGGTGGAGAGGGAGAGAGAGAGGGAAGGAGGGAGGGAGGAAGAAAGAGAGAGAGAAAGAGAGAGAGAGAGAGAGACAGAGACAGAGACAGAGACAGAGAGACAGAGAGAGACAGAGAGACAGATAGAGTCAGAGAGAGAGAGAGAGAGAGATCCCATGGAAGCTGAGAACTTTCCTCAACTGAATGCTTGTTAGCAGACAATACTGACTTTCTCCTAGTACCCTAGTTTGCATAATGCTTCATGCCACACACAGTACAGGAGGTGGGGGCTCTTACTGTTGCTGTAGCCTCTAAAATTATAGGAAAATGTGGTAGTGGAAATGAGGTTCTGTGTCCTCTCTTGGACTCAGGGAATTTCTGACTTCCAGAAGTCCTTATCCTTACATTCCAGATAATTCTACAAAGAGTTTTCATAGCCCTCAAAAAAATTATTTTCACTGGAGAAAATAATGCTAGCAACTGATGTCCTGATGCCTGCTCAAGCCAACATACTGAAGAATGATCAGCCCATGAAGGAAAAACTTAGAACTCACTGGCTTTTCAGCTAGTTAGGGGATAAGGGCACCAAACCTGAATTCAGTTGCAATACAGAAGGAGCCGAGGTTTTCTTGCAGCTCAGAAGTTTATTAATGAAGGGGACTGGGCCAGTTGGTGTTTACATGCTTGAGCCCTGCAGCCCTGTTTCCTGGCTGTAGTGAGGAAGAGGACTGGCTGCTCTGTAGGCCACAGGTGTTGTCATCTCAGGAACATACTGAGCCCTCTCTCCTGGGTCCTTGTTGCCATATCTGGGGTCCAGCACTATCAGATAGACTCTTCTGTTTCTCGTGCCTGAGCTGAAGGGATGATATTTTTTAGGATTTCAGCATAGTAGGGGCTAAATACCTGCTGGTTGTGATGCATAAGACTAACAAACTTCCAACCCAGTTCTGCCAACTCGCCCTCGATGAAAATAAGGCCTCCAGGGAAGTCTAGCAGAGACTCCTGCATGCCACAAACCAAACAGCATCTGAGAAACAAACGGATCCGCTTATCTGTGAACAAGAAAAAACAATGAAAAGAGAAAAATCAAAGAGTTTTCAAAAGAAATTCACAATGCCCTTGCACTCTCTGCTCACCAAAGTTGAAGTTAACTGAGATATTCACTGACCTACTTACTCATTTGGATTAACCATATAAATGAGATCTGCTTTTTGTTTTGTTTTGTTTTGTTTTGGCACAGGGAATTCTATCAAGCTCTCAAGATAATACATGATCAAAAGATGATGAGCTAGTAAATTTCTGACTCTTCATAACATTATGTGGCTTTAAGTGAGATCCTGGTGTGCATTTGGCCTACTAAGAGGACCCTAGGCATTATACCTGAAATTCTAAGGGCATGCATTGCAGCCAGTGCACTAAGTTCAGGCCCACACACTCAAATAAGACTATATTAAAATGTAAAAGTTAAAAGCAAGCTGGCCAAGTTCATTACTTCCATTCCAGGATGAAATATGTTCTATAGCCTAAGTCAGCATCAGTGCTTTGGAGGGGAGTAGAGGCCTGCATGGTAAGTTAAAGCTAGGGATAGACAAAGGTTTTCCTACCATAGATCTTAGACTATATTTAGAGATGACCAGGGATAACTTAGTAGGTTTGGTGGGACAATATTTCACACCTGCAAGTTACATATCCTAACTGCAGATCCATCTAAAAACCATACATTCACTTTCAAACTGAAAAGGATATATTTCAACTCTGTACATTATAGATAAGGAAACTAAAGCCAAAAGATATTCCCAAAGATTGTGCTTTTCCATTTTTAAATAGTTCAGTAACTGACTTTCAGACTTGAGTCTACCTTCTCATCCTCCTCATTCTTTCCCCACTCCCCATCACCACCATGGGACTCTTACCAATGATAATACGAACACAGTTCTCTTTTTTAGAGATGTTTTGGAGTTGGCCTATAAGAGATGCTGTGCTTTCACAGCTCAGGGTACTGAGGCCCATGTCTTTGAGGCCTTGGTGGATTTCCTGAGACACTTGTTCACTCACATTCAGCATAGCCTCTTCAGGCCTAGACAATAAAGCACAAAAAGCAGAGTGTCCCATAAAGAATCTCATACCAGAAGCCAGGTCCACTCAAAGGAGATTCCCAGCTCCCCACTGCTAGCAGCAGGACCCAATGAGCAAGTGAAATATCTTCAGTGTTACCCTCAAGGTGTCAACTAATTTCATATATACAGTACTATATTCCACTTCAAGGAAAACAAGGTAAATTGGGCAAGGGTTCAGTTCTATACTTGGATCCATTCAGTATTTTTTAGTCCCATAAACTTTAAATATTGTTTTAAGATTTTTCTTGGAAATTTTCCATGGTTGTTTTTTCTACTTCACTAATTAAATTGCAAATATATTTATAGACCTGGACTTCTAATTCCTCATTTTACTTTAGTTGTGGTGCTCTGCACATAGTAAATGATCAATCAATATTATTGACCAACTGATATCTGGATATATACACAAATCTAGTGTCACCCATTCAAGCACATAATGACTCATCCTTAACAAACATGATAATGGATCATTTATAGTAAATTAGCCTCTACACTCTCCTATTTGGAAAGAAGTTTCCTTTTTCTCTATCCCAAGCCTCAGTACTACTTATCAAAAGATACAAACAATCTCTGCAGATGGTTCCTAAGGTCCTTTGTGTGGTTTCAGATGAAGAATAGCAATAATACATTGCCCACCTATGTCTCAAAAACCACCTAATATTTTCAACTCTAAGAAAGAACTATGAAGCTTACCCAGAGCTACATTCCTCCATCAGGGCCTTGATTATGCATTTCAATTTATCCACAAATTCAGGTGACCTGAATAAAGCATTACCAGAAAAACTTCTGGCCACTAGCATGACTGAGGACAGGATGGTTAACTGCTGCAACCGAGACTCCATCTCCTGCAGCCGTATTCTGTCCATCAGCAAAGTCTGGTAAGGCAGGGAAGAGCAGACTGTCAGGAGAGGAGGGCTCTAGTGGAGGTGTTGAATACAAAGAGGCAATACTTTAACACACATTCCTACCTCAGGGAACTCTTCATCATCAGGATCCCAGAGAAGAAGGTTCAGGTAACCCTGGTATAGCACCATTGTGTGACTGGGGAGCTCTGAGTTGTTAGCTTCCCAATTTGGAGATGAACAGGCCATGCTGGAGGAGCTGGGAGACTCAGGAGAACTTGGAAATGGTGTAGTGAGATCTCTTGCTGCTTTGGTTAGCCATTGTGTAGTGAAATCAAGGAGATCTATGGCAGAGAAAGGAATATGTGAGTGACTTCGAACTCCAAGGCTTGAAGACTAAGGCTTTAAGATATACTTTCGGTCAATAAAGAAGTGATTTTGTAGGCCTGTCTTAGAGAAATTTCCTTCTCTTTACTCTTTATCCAAGGAAGAAACTTCCTATTCAAAGAGAAAATACTCCATCACTGTAAAAATGCAGATTCAAGATCAAATCTCCCCTCTTCTTCCCTTAAATTTTAAACATACCAGGCTGCTTGTCAAGGAGTTCCTGGAATTTAGCTCGTTCATCCTGAACAGAATGTTCCTGAAGGTAGAGTTGAAGGCTCTGGATAGTATAATTTACCATGTCCATTTTCATTAGACCCAGAACATGGAAGATACCCCTGTCATAAGGAGAAATCAAATATTTAGGCTATGAAAGGAAATCTAATGTGGAAGGGTGGAATCCAAGCAAGGAATCCTAAAATCACAGTATTTTATAGTTAAAAGGGGCCTTAAAAACAATAGTCCTACTTCAATTTACAAATAAAGATGCTGTGGTGAGGGACAAGGTCACAGAGTGGGTTGTTAACAGAGCTAGAGACAGATACGTCTTCTGACGTTTTAGTTACCAGGCTAGAGGCCTTTTAACTTTGGAAAATAAAAGCCAATAGTTCCAGGAGGAAAAAAAATAGGTATCAATCAGTTCTTCAGTATAGAAGAGCTAGACAAGGCAGAGGCTGAAACACAGTATCTGGCTCAGAGCTTTCTGGTACGGTGACTTCAAAGACAGTACCTCTAGTTTCTTACCTCAGTAACTGCACAGGATCTGTTATGCTCTCTAGTTTCTGCACTGCTTCATCTCGGACTGGTGCACATAGCAGGGTCATCAAATTGAGAACGTAGTTAGAGAGATGAGGGACATCTAGGGCCCCATGCTCTGCTTCCTGCTTTAAGAGATCCATATCCAGAGCTTCTTCAATCTCATTTCTTATACGGTTCTGGCGTGGTAATAGCAGGGATAGCAAGATCTATACAGAAAAGAAAATCAGTGGAGCCAAACTGTTTAGAATCCTAAACATTTTCCAAAGAACAACCCTCTTATAACAAAGGTATCCCAGTCTACATCTTGTGGGGGTCCAGAAACTAGGTCTCTAAATTTCTTATAGAGAAATCTCTCTCTGTTTAGGAGCCAATTATAATTCAAAACTTATTTTTATACATTTATTTATAAATTATTTTATAAATTTATTTATTTCATTTCAAGTATACAGTACATTGATTATACATCTATATTGTTCATAAAATGATCCCCCCAATTAGCCCTCCACTTAGTAATCATATTAATGCTAACCGCGTTCCCTATGCCATGCTCCCCATCCCCGTGCCCAACTATCAACTACTAATTTGTACTTCTTTAACCCTTCACCCAATTCTCCCAGCTCCCCAGCCCCGCTCCCCTCTGCCCATCATCAAATTGCCCGCTATATTTGTGAGTCTGTTTTTAATTAGTTTGTTCTTTTTGTTCCTTAGATAGCGCATATAAGTGGAATCATATGGTATTTATCTTTCTCTAATTTATTTCACTCAGTATAAGAACCTCTAGGTCCATCGATGTCATTGCAAACGGTAGGATTTCATTTTTTTAATGGCTGCGTAATATTCCATTGTATACATGAACCATAATTTCTTTATCCAATCATCTGTTGATGGGCATTTAGGTTGCTTCCATATTTTGGCTACTGTAAATTGTGTTGCCATGAATGTTGGAGTTCATAGATCTTTATGAATTATTGTTTTGGTTTTCTTCGGATAAATACCCAGAAGTGCAATTGCTGGGTCAAAAGCTATATCCATTTTTAATTTTTTGAGAAACCTCCAGACTGTTTTCCGTAGTGGTTATATCAATTTGCAATCCCACCAACAGTGTTCTCTTTTCACCACATCCTCTTCAGCACTTGTTCTTTGATAGCCATTCTGACAGGTGTCAGGTGATATTTAA